GTTTAGGACTTGTATAAATTTTTGGCTGTTTTTTTATAAACTGGTGAATTCTCTTCTTCTAGATGAAAAAGACAGAGTTTCTGTGGGTTGCTCAAAAAAATATGGAAGAAGGAGATGGCGAGAATGTGTAGTTGCGGTAGCTCTCGTGGTGTGTGAGAGCCAATAGTGGGGGCCATGGTGCGCGACTGAAATCAGGGTAGAAACAACTAGTGGTAGTCTGGTAGAGGAAACAATCAGCTGGCAAGCTTTGAACTTCGTAGGTTGGGTAGAAATATGTATTGATATAATGATATTGAGAAAAGCTTCAAACTCACATAAATGCTGAGCTCCAGACTAGATAGAAATATGTCGTTTTTCAAACCAATCTAGGGTGCCTCAAACCTCAAGCCCTACAATGTTGAAGTTGCCTGCTCCCACAATGCTGAAGTTGCCTTCTTTGAACATTGTGCCAAGGTACAAAATAGTTCTACTTTTCCAAGAAGATCTTGGCTGACCACTGCATCAATTGAAGCACACTTATTTCGTTGCAAAATATTAGCCCGTTCAATAAAACACAAAGAAATGCAAAACATTAAGCTAATACAACTGCTTCAAAGATTATTATTTTTGCTGGTTATTCATGTGGATACGGATTGAAACTGTATGTGGTGAACCCCCACCCAAAATTTTATATGAATACAACCACAGTAAACTAGCCAATGGATAATAGTTCATCTTTATCATAAAATCAACTGTGATGAAGTTCTCTTTGATGGTGATAAATCGTACGTCATGAAGACTGTCCGCTACCAATAACCGTGACAATGGGTGAGAGTTCAACTTCATCACACTTGTAACACTTCTTACTGCCAAGCCTCCTGTGGCTTAGGCAACTTATTTTTATTTGTTAAAAGCACACCACACTATAAGTGCCACACAAATATCTTAATCTTTTAGGGGCACTTTAAGTCTGTCAAAACACATCTTCACAAAATGGGCTATACGTATCATCCACCAACGGGAGGGCAGCAGTAGTAGTGCTTTGCCTCCACTCTCACTCTCATGTGCATGCATCTTCCACTCCTCCTGCCAACACCATGTTTATATAGGATGGTTAGGTTTGTCGTTTGTGTTCGGCCATGTTAGAATTGCACATTTTCGTGTAACGACAAGTCTGAATCCTTCCTCTGTAATTTCACTACTCAAGCTCTTTTGGTTCCTTCCCGATCTTCTCTGTTTTTGGTCAGACTAATTAAATGGTAAGCATCCATTCAAGATACTATCAATAAAGATTAATCACCAAGTTAAAGGCTATTTTTGGCTGCTCTTGCACTGTCTGCGGCCTCTGTTGTCGAGTCTGCAGTGGAGTTCGCCCTGCCGTGCTGTTGGCAGCTGTGGAAGCATCGGAATGCTGTCGTTTTCAACGGCAGCAGCTCTCCATTGGTCGGGTACTTAGTTGTTTCCGAGAGGACGCGGTGTTATGGAGCGGGCAGTTGTCAGCTGCTCGACACTCTCATGTTGTATCCTAAGTGAGCTCTCTCTCTCTCTCTC